GGGGGCTGTCCTGGGGGGGACGGGGTAGGCGTCTGGGTGCCCCCCTCCCTCAAGCCAAGGAGGCCCCGGCATCCTCGGTGGGGGGCGGTGGCTCCCAGCGGATCCCGGCATCCGGGGGGGCCCAGGCCCCCGGGGGGGGCCGTTTGAGGGGCCCCCCCAGGCCCAGCAGCTCCTGCAGCGCCGGGGGCAGCTCCTGGGGGGCGGGTGGGGACAATTGGGGGGGGTAGGTTGGAGTGACCATTTGGGGACAACTGGGGCGGCAGTTTTGGGGAGCAGGTTCAGGGGACTGTTTTGGGGGGCAGTTTGGGGATATGTTGGGGATCCCTTGGGGCACCCCTTGGGGACACATTGGGGACCCCTTGGGAACCTTTTTGGGGATCCTTTGGGGACACACCTTGGGGACACATTGCGGAGCTTATTGGGGATTATTTGGAGACACCCCTTGGGGACCCTGTGGGACACCTGGGCAACCTTTGGGGACATCCTGGGGGACACTGTGGGGACATCTTGGGGACACCCTGGGGACCCATCAGAAACATGCTGGGGACCCTGTGGGGACACCCGGGGACACTCACGGCAGTGGCCGCCAGCTGCCAGTAGATGCCCTCCGCCCGGCTCAGGACCTCGTCGGCGTCGAGCTGCGGCCACCGCACGGGGGGACCCTGCGGATGGTGGTGTCACCCACGTCCCCAACCCACCGGTGTCCCCAGGGCCATCCCCCAGCCGACCCCTCACCCATCCCTGTCCCCAGCCCTGTCCCTGTGTCCCCAGTGCCACCTCAACCCCGTCCCCGTGTTCCCAATGTCCTCCTCAGCCCTGTCCCTGTGTCCCCAGTGTCATCCTCAGCCCCGTCCCCGTGTCCCCAATGTCCTCCTTAGCTCTGTCCCTGTGTCCCCAGTGCCACCTCAACCCCATCCCTGGGTCCCCAACCCCGAGACTGTCCCCACACCCGTGTCACCGTGTCCCCAAGCCCATCTTTGTGTCCCCAAGCCCATCCCCGTGCGTTCGACCTGTGCCAATGTCCCCAGCCCAACGGGGCCCCAGTTCTGTCCCAGCGTCACTTCCATCCCCCCTACCTCATTCTCCTGTCCTCAAGCCCATGGGTTTCCCAAACCTTGTCCCCAAGGCCATCTCTTTGTCTCCAGCCCCATGCCTGTATCCTCAGTCCCTCAAGCCAACCCAATGTCCCCAACCCTGTCCCCAATCTCACCTGCATGTCCCCAACCCCGTCTCCCCAACGCCCTCCCGTGTCCCCGTGTCCCCACCCTGAGCCTCTCCTGTCCCCACCCCGCCCCTCCGCCAGGCGCTGTCACCTCATCCTCGTCCGTGTCCTCGTCCGTGTCTCCATCGCCGTCATTGTCCCCACGGCCGCCGCTGTCGCCGTCCCTGGGGGTGTCCCCCGCGGGGTCCCCGTCCACGGGTGGCAGCAGCTCCAGCATTGCACAGGCCACCAGCAGGTGGAAGTTGGGACAGGGCAGCCCTGTCCACAGCACCTCGGGGGGGGGGGGGACACGGTGTGGGGACCCCCCGTGTCCCCCCCAGTGTCACCCACAGGCTCCTGGTCCCCTTTCTCCATGTCCCCCCCTTTCCCTATCTCCGTGTCCCTCTATGTCCCCCGCATCCCAATGTCCTCCCCATGTCCCTGGTGTCCCCACCCAACCTGCCACGTCCCCCACGTCCAAGTCCCCCCATGTCCCCATGTCACCCCACATCCCCCCAGTCTCTCCTGTCCCCTCATGCCC